GGACAGTGTACAGGAGGCACGTTAGGCAACTGAATTACTTCCACATGACTTGCCTTCGTAGAATTCTGAGGATCCGGTGGCAGGATAAGATACCAGATACAGAGGTCCTCTCCAGAGCAGGCCTATCATCAGTTTACACTCTGTTGATGAAAGCCCAGATGCGCTGGGCAGGCCATGTTGTAAGGATGCCAGACCATCGAATCCCTAAACAGCTCTTCTATGGTGAGCTGTCTCAAGGAAAGCGATCGCACGGGGGACAAAAGAAGCGATACAAAGACACGCTGAAAGCATCTCTCAAGTCCCTGGATATCGACACCATCTCTTGGGAACTCTTGGCGCATGATCGACTGACATGGCGTACCCTGGTTTACCAGGGGTGCCAGACATATGAACACAGGAGGACAATCTTGGCGCAAGAGAAGCGAGCACTCCGTAAAGCCAGAGCTGCAAATGCTGAAGCAACAGTGTCCACATTTCTCTGTTCAGTATGTGGCAGAACATTCCGTGCTAACATCGGTCTAATCAGCCATCTACGGACACACCATTGATGGCCCACAATCCACAAGATGTCAAGGTCTTCATCGAAATCGATGGACGAACAACAATAATGATTTTATTCCACCTCCTTACATTCTAGTGTAACTCTTGTTTCATGGTGAATTGTCTCATGAGAAATTGGTTGTAGTAAGTTGGCTACGATAAGTTGGCTATGGTGAGTTTGCCATGGTGAGTTGTCCTAGACCTGCACCAGGAATGTGGGTGGGACAAGGAGCTTGGAAGAGACTCTCCCTGTAATGAAAACATTGTAGATGCGTCGTGAGTAAATTACAATAACAGGTTTGCATGTACACTGAGAGCTTCTGCACCAGAGACAAATTCCTTGTGTATCTAATCACACTTGGCTAAATAAACATTCAATTAATTCAATTTAATAATGAAGGTCTGTTCAGACCCTGAGCCTGATGGCTCCCTTCTACCTGCTTTGCCCAAAAGGGCAGCAGTGTCAAACAAATTGATATTCTCCACTTAACACAAATGAAAGTGTGGTTTCAGCTGTTGGCCTGATGGTTTTCCCTCCTGCTTCCAAACTATCACTCATCAGGCCCCTGAAGACCATTCTTTCCCAAGAGACTTTCTCATAATTCTTTTTTTAACCTCTGAAATAAAATTGTTCCTCTTTCTTCCTTTTTCATCTGCAGACCAAATTTGATCTGTTTGAAAGAGTTCCTCTCTCTTGGTTCAATATCTGCCCTCTTTGTTCATTTATAACTATGGATGGGGTGACAGAAAGATGCAGAAAAATGTATTTGGGTGGAACAAACAAAGCATAGAGAGGAAGGGAAGGGAAGGGAAGGGAAGAGAAGAGAAGAGAAGAGAAGAGAAGAGAAGAGAAGGGAAGGGAAGGGAAGGGAAGGGAAGGGAAGGGAAGGGAAGGGAAGGGAAAGTCTGCCATTGCTATTTTTATGTGCCTATGGAAATAAATAACAACCACAAAATAGTTATCAGCTGTTTATGTGCATCTCCATCATGCAGCATATTAGAGCACTAGACACTATTTATCTGCCAGTTCTTATATTCCTCAAATGATGCATCCAATTGAAATTTCAAGATATGACTTTGCTTTTTATAAAATCAACTTCTTGCCACATATATTTCTTAAGAATTAAGAAAAAAAAGTACTTTGAATGACGTGAAAGTTTTTAATCATGTCTTCAATGTAGGATGAAGGAACTCTAGCAGGTCAAAGCAGTATGCAGATCTTTTATCTTGAGGGCTATGTAAATTCAGTGACAGCTTCCTGTTCAAAGGAACCANATCATCCTGCTCTCCTGCTGCACTCAAAATCACAAAGGTTGAGTGCTTCTCTGAATGTTTTCCCATCATTAAGGATCCTCCAATCTTTTGAGTGAGCAAAAATGGAACTCTGGCTAAACCTCCTGTCCTTCTTAGTTCTCCTCAGAGGTATTATTTTTGCCTCCAAAGAAAGTGGTTATTCCTCAGTTTCTTGTGTTTACCTGCAAAAGGTCTTATTAAACAACCTTTCTTTCTAGGTGGCCAATCTGAGGTCCAGTTGGTGGAATCTGGAGGGGATGTGAGAAGACCTGGAGAGTCCCTCCATCTCTCCTGCCAAGCCTCTGGATTCACCTTCAGCAGCTACTATATGAGCTGGGTGAGACAGGCTCCAGGGAAAGGACTGGAATGGGTAGCATTCATAAACACCGGTTCCGGTACTTCCTACCCAGACAAAGTGAAGGGACGGTTCACCATCTCCAGGGACAATGCCAAAAGCCAGCTGTATCTGCAGATGAACAGCCTCAAAGCTGAAGACACAGCTGTCTATTACTGTGCTAGAGACACAGTGAGAGGAATTATATGTGAAGCCAAGCAAAAACTGCCAATTTCACACAGCAGCTCTGTAAACATTTCTAACAAAAACAACTTCATTAATTTGGATTCTCTCTTCATGTTTTCATTCTGCACTTCAACCTTCATCCATTCAATGTATAGGAATAATACTCTTTTTTTATGTAATGAACACCACATTTCAATTTCATACTCAATCCAGGTTGATATTTATTCGGTCTATTCATTCCTGACCCCCACCCACTGATTTCACCACCCATATTTCTTAGTAGTTAATTTACTAACATTATTGTTCATTTATACAAATTAAATCAGGAGAAATATTTGGAGTTGTAGATGTGAAAACCACAGTCAAAGTCCAACTTCTAGGCCAGGACTGATTGCCACCTACTCCAGATTTTTGCATTTTAGATATGATAGTCCTACATTTATTTTAAATTAAATCAGGACAACTAGTTAGTGTTGCAGATGTTAAAATACAAAGTTCTACTTGTGGACTGAGTCTGATGGACTGAGACTGATGGACTTAAGCCATCTTTCTTATAAACTGGTTTTAACTTCCACATGAAAATTAGATGCAAATGAAGTCACTGAGCTGTTTCTCCTTTAAATAAACACAAACACACAAATGGGCATCACAGAGCCAAAAGTGTCATTGTTCTAAAGGAAAAGAGTTTTCCTTACTGCACAATGGATCTTGCCATTCTTTGTCTTCTTTGCTTAGTAGCAGCTCCTGTGTGTGAGTATCATCCAGATGGACCTGAACAATGAGATAAAACAAAAAAATAGGGTTGTGTACACATTCCAGGTTAACAAAAAGTAGTACTAGACTTCAGTGTTACTGCTGATATTCAGAACAGCACATAGCATGCAGGTTGCGTCTTCGTTCTTTTCTTGTTCTTTTGTTTCCTTTCTCCTATTTCCACAGGTTTTTTTTTTTAAGACCTGGCTGCAATATAACCATGACAGAGAAGGATTAAGAGATGCAGTCCTCTGTAATTTCACCTTTTCTATTCCGGTTCCTCCTTGATATGTCCAAATGTGCATTGGTTTTCAAACAAGGGCCGTATGGGTTGGTAGGAATGGAAAGAGTCTGATCAGTCCCTGTATGGAATTTTTCTTCATAGATAGCACTCTCATCAGGGATGAACTACACATTACATCTGTGACAATGAGCATCTGATGGTTCTTAAGAAATGTGCTTATGTTTTACACACACATACACATAATTTTTATCAATTAAATTGATAAATTAAATGTTTGCAAAATGAATCTTTATGGAACGTAGTATCAATGAATAAATATATTGCATTATTTTATTTTTATTTATTTATTGAGGTGGGGCTATTGAGCTGAAACAGGGAAAACAAAAATTAAAACACGGCGATTGAGACAGTTAGAAGAGGAATTGACCAGAGTTGAGGAAGATTTGCAAAAGGAACCACAAAGAAGTGGGTTGAAGCAGCAGATAAATTTAATTAGGCATAAGATGGACACTATGGGCAAGGAAGAGCTAGGGCAGCAGATAAAACGTACCAAACAAATTTTTTTTGAATATGCCAATAAACCGGGGAGATGGCTGGCCTATAAAATTAAAAAACATAACAATAAACAAAGGATTACCAAACTTTGCAATATAGAAGGTGATATGGTGTATCAGAATGAAGGAAAGAAATCAGTGGCATACGAATTTTATAAGAATTTATACAAAGATGAAGAACGGGCAAATAACAATGATATTGTGCAGTACTTGCAAACAGCTGACCTACCAAAAGTCCCAAAAGAATTTAAAATTTTATTGAACAAAGAGATAACATCCTTGGAACTTTCGGAAGCAATTAAGAAACAAAAAAATAATAAAGCACCTGGGCCAGATGGCCTACCTGCAGAAGTGTATAAGATCATACAAGAACTTTTAAGTCCAATAATGCTGGAACTATTCAATGAGGTCTTAATTAAGGCTAAAACAC